TTTTGTTTCTACAGTAAAAATTATGTTCACAAACAGGTATGACAAAAAGTATTGATCAACAAAAATGGGCAAAAGTTTTTTAGTATGACTGAAAAGATTATTGTGCACTGGTAAATGTCAGGGGATGTTTTCTCTGCTCTACTAGCAATAAGTCGGCGATGGAGATGCAAGCTTAGATTAAAGTCGGTTGAGTGGGTACTCAGCTTAGGACAAAGCATCGCTTCTACTTGATTACCGCTCAAATAAAATGTAAACCTGCTGTTGAATTCTCTGGTCGTGTCATTGTGCACCTTTGAGGATGACATCGCTGACATCGAGGCAACACACAAAAAGTTCACATAGTCTTTGGTAGTTGCAATTACTACAATCTTATTACTATTCGAACGCACATTTCTAGTTAACCTCTGACCTTGAAATGTTTCTTTTCCCACCAAAATGTGGTAACGAAATATTTTAATTTGAAAACAAAACAAAACAATCGCATGAAGCGGTTGTTAGCTTTCACGTCAACATTTGAAGTAGGGGGTCCAATGAATAGAGAGAAACTCTAGAATGTTTTGTTAATCCTCGTTCTGATTGCTTGCTTAATTATGCTGATTGCAAAACTTTATGTAAATAATACTAAATGACAATGCCAGATATTGTTGTTTTCACGCTGTTGTGTATATATTCGTCACTTCACCATCACAATTTATCACATTTTTTGGATTTTATAAAAAAATTCTTGATTGTTTTTTTGGGGGGAGGGGGGTACAGTACGTAGTCTGTTATTAGCAAAAATAATAGTTTACAATAAATACATTTAACCCTTGATTACCAATATAAAAGTTTGCCTTTTTTTAACAAAATAATTTAATGCGTTAATTGTTCATTTTTTTGGGCAATGGGAAATTAAATGTATTTGGTTTTAAAATTATCAAAGAAATTACACATAATGAATTTTAAAAATGTTCGACACAAATTTGGCGGGAAAAATTAGAAAAGAATTCAAAGTTACATACAAGTGGGTGTTGTGGTTATGATATTTAGAAAGAATCACTGATGCTTAGCGTGCTGAGCTTGTTTTAAGTCTAGGATTGAGTGGAGTACATGTATGCAGCTGAGACCTGGCCACTCTTGAGTGAGATTTCAAGTATGTTAAATGGAACCCCATTAATGCTTGTAATACAAGCTTGAATTTCAAAAATTCTTCTGAAAACTGCTTAGCCCAAAGAAAACAGCTCCAACTACAGCATTCAGAGAGAAAACACATTTGGCAGCAACTTTCTTTTTATTTCTGAAATGTGCCAGTGTGGTTTTGCAAATATTGAACATGCAAAGACTGGCGATTTAAAAAAAAAAAAAAAAGTTGCATCAATTCTGGTTGTGTTTAGGATAAAGATAATGGTAGAGAAAAGCCATCCGTGGTCTGGAGACATGTACGTCATGTGACCTAAAGAAGAATAAATCGATTTGTCTACTTAGAAGATAGCACTACTACAGATATTATAAGCCTGTTTCATCCAGTCTTACATAGTTTTGCCATTAGTAGAGGAGGTTAATGATTTGATTGATATCGGATACTCTACTCTATGTGGATTTATAGCCCTGCTCATGCACTAATTACACATACAAATTCCTTTATTGAAAATAAAAATTGGCTTTTTGAACTATTTTTTTTAAAATTACGTGCTTGTCTATTCATAATGACAGAATGATGGATTATAGTGAAATACTGTGTTACATTGCAGTTTGCATAATGAATATTTATTGTGTTTGTTATTTCTTTTCTCCAATAATAGATCAGCCTTTTTTAATATGGGCAACAAAACAAAGATTTATATCTTGTTCTATGATGTGTTTTTTTTTAAGTGCGCCATAATTGTCACATTAAATGTCAAACAAAAGCCCTAACAAAAATATTCATGTTTATGCTGACTGCAGATGGCAGAAAAAATGAAAGAAAAATTCAGTTTTCATGACAAATAATAAATGTCATGACAATTGAAGAATCAAAAATAAAAATGAAAAGCCACCCTTGTGCATCAATTTTAGTAACATTTTTCATTTTTTTGAAAAAAAACAATTTAAAATCTTAATCTGTATATGTATAGTTTTACTTTTTAAAATAAAAATATGTATCACAGTTCCATCACATTTATTAATAGTGATGCAACGATGTTTCATGAACAAATAAAAATACAAATCATCCTCTCCAACAACATTTATGTTGCATTGGGGATATCTGGGTGATAAAATCCTTTGACAGGATGCTAATCCATCAATGCCAGCTACTAATAAAACCAAACAGAGCAGTGTTAAATCAGAATCAGTCATGAAGTTTCCTACATGACTGGGGTATTTATTTACTCTATATACCGTACTTGCAGCATGAAATAGAATCAATAGTGGGCTCCATCATCTACCATAACGATCACAAACCCATTTCGTTGATTTTTATAAATATTTATAAATTTCAATGGCATGTTAAATGCAATCAGCCAATCAATGAGCACAGTGCATAATGACATCATTTGAAAATGTTCCAATGTTATTCCATTGGCCAGTAGAAAGCTTTCAGTTTGAATTGTGAAATTACAATTTTGTTATGATAAACAAGGAATTGGATTTGTGGTCACGATAGTACTTTGATACATAGCATTTTAAAATTAAGCATTCGGTAATTAAAATTCCGTATAAATTTTGCTTTTACATTGGAAAATATTTCTATTTTGGTAATTGTTGAACTTCCTGTGACTGAGAAGTCTAATTTTCCTGAAACGTGTGGGATCCATGGTTTGTGATTAGATTTTCTTGTGTGGTCAAAATGTCAGTAGTAGACAGTGTACAGTACCACTACATCTGGTGTCTGACTGAGCCGTGAATGAATATTGGTGAAATGGTCACAACTGAACTAAATATGCTCCTGTGTTACTTGTTTACAATTGATGAAGCATGTTGTCACTTATCGCTGTGTCAAATTAGTGACCCTGTAATATTTAAAAAAAGGAATTAAATGTTTGTTAGTGGCTGTTTTAAATTAAGGGTTGTGTTCGACGTGCAACATGAGCTTGTTAAAAAACTTGCATAGCAACAGACCCATGTATAACTAAATGTAATTCAGATAATAATTTTTGAAATCAAAGAATTGAAATTTAATTCAAAGATGATAACCTGCTAGAAATATTCACAGAAAAATTAAATATAATTTGCATTATTATGGAAATGAGTAGATTTGGCGCAAACAACGACTATATTGTGGGAGATGATGAATGTTAACAATGGCAGTGAAAGTTTTGATGATATGCAAATTACCTAATTAATATGCACATGCAGAAAATAAAATTATTTTGTGGAAGGTGACAGAAGTTGACAAAGTGATGAAAAGGTTGATGTAGTTTAGAGATTCTGTCTTAATGTTGCTATCAGCTACAGACAGAGCAGTGGGACTCAAATCAGTCATGGGCTTCAATTAAAGGCGTTTCCTCAAGAGTCGGTTATCAGCGCTTAATAATAATCATTTAGAGACAAGCCGTGGTTTCCCAGTGGTATACTGTGTATTCCACACTACTAGTCATGTGTTACTGTCCAAACATTGCTTTCAAGGCTGTGTGTGTGTGTCTGTGTGTGAACTTTTTTATTTAATTTTCAGATTGTTAAATAGTTAAAAGTCCACTTCAAAACACTGTGACCTAATTTGGTACAGCGAATTTGATTGGGTAAAGTTGGTGTGGAGTGAACCATTATACTCCTTGTATAGCCATTTGTAGACAGAGGAACATTAATATGCGCTTATTGATTTTAACAAGGAAAACTATAAAAGTGTTAAAATCTTCATTCCCAATTTTTGACAAATTAGGTTTCTGCTTGGCATGCAGTATAGATCATTTTGGCCTGATATCAGTTCTGGTGCATAGACCACCCCTTTTTTTTATCCCTAGACTGAATTAGAATGTTCCCATATCCCATAATTCATTGCTTTGTTTGCTTTGGGGATTCAGCTCCCAACACAATTCCCCAACACCTAGATACTTTCATGCATGAACCAAATTTGTCTTGTAGTAGTTATTCAAGGATGGATTTCAAACGTTTCAGGCCGTCTTTTATTTACAACTAGTTGTTTGTTCTGTAGTTTTTGTGAATCAACCATCTTGAACAGAAAAATAATTCTCCAATTCTGAGTTAATACTTCATGCACGACAAAGCAGAACTTCGAAAAGATTTTGTTTTAGTTTTCATTTATTTCTTCAGTATTTCATCAACAGCTGTAAAACAGTTCGCTTGGTTCAATCTGGTATTAATTACCATTTTTCGGTATAACTCAAATAACAAACAACTGACTGGCTGAATGAACTTGGCAACAGATGCCATCACAATTTACTTGTACCCCCTGTCACACCATTGAGGGCACTTGACTTTGCATTCAAAGAATTAAGCTAAACATTGTAGCTCTTCTCATTTTATACGGCTCATGAGAACCAATCATATTTTTAGATTTATGTTTTGAAAACATTCTGGAGAAGTTTTTTTTTATATCGGGTGTCAGTTCTAGACATTGAACATCACGGTTTTCTCTCCTGACTTTTTTCTGTGGAAATTGCAATAGCGAAATTGCAACTGACATACAGTTCAGTACATTTTGCCAAAGAAGCCATATTGCACGTTTGAGACTAATTGTTGTGACCATTTTCCAATGATATTAATGGCGTTATGGCAATTTAATAGTGCATTACCCATACCCACAATGTCTTGTTTATCACAAGAACCTGCAGTTTCTCACAATGTGCCATATGTTAGTTTGATGTTAGATTCTCAGCCAGTAGCTTGGGCCACCCCATTGAGTCTGTGGTACACTCACACATGTACGATTTGAACTCCTGGCCATTGGTCATGATTCCAATGCAACAACCACTACACTACCAATGATTGAAAATGTGATGTAACTAAACCATATTCACTAAAGAAATTATTAATTATTATAATTGTTTAACTTAAATATATTAATCTGTTTATTCTTACAGAGACCTGAGTTATAACAATTTAATGGTGATACAAAGAAAACTTTTCAGAGGAGCTGGTGCAATAAAAAATCTGTAAGTATATCACACCTTGGTAGATTAATAAGGTTAATACTAAATAAACCAGTATATCAAACCATGAAGATTAATAAGGTTACTATTAAATAAACCCATAGTTCATACCTATCTTGATTAATAAGTTTAATACTAAATAAACCAGTAGGTCACAACAAAGTAGAATAATGAGCTTAATACACACCAGTAGGTTACACTGAGTTTGATTAACAAAGTTAATAATTAATAAAACAGTAGGTCAGACCTAGCTTGATTAATACAGTTAATACTAAATAAACCATTAGGTCAGACCTAGCTTGATTAATAAGGCTAATACTAAAAATCTTTTTAGTTTATAATAGTAATTTATGAATTGTAGTGAAAAAAGATAAGTTTGTTAGAATCCCCACACCCCTTAATCGTAACCCTGCCTTTCCAGTCTCCTACCCCCATTTTAATTGTACACAATGTATATACTCTTCTTCAGGACATATGTAGTTTTTTAGTGGGGCATACACAATACACAATTTCATTTGGGGGCTTAAGTGTTAGGGTTAAGATTCAGGTTAGGGTAGAGGTAGGGGACCTTAAAATAACTAATTCCAGAAAAAAACAAATGTTCTATGTTTTGCATGTACCGGTACCCTGTCCACAGCTTAGTGAAATTTCATATTAATTAAATCTTTGAAAACAAATATAACAATCAAAGCATGAATAGTTTTGTTTAAATACATAAATTAATATGTTGATTAACTTAATTTGCATAATATAGAACCAATTTTTGCATAATCAATAGGTATGCTTGTTTTTCACTTTCAATAGCAAATACTTTCATCTAAAATTTTTCTGATGAAATTGTTCAAAGTTAAAGTGGGAATGGAGTTCTAAGCGACGATAACAATGCATGCTAAAACTGTGAAGGCTCATGGGTAGATGTTTGTTTGTAAACAATGACATGCTATGATTGTTTTGTCGTATGCGCAATTTAGTGAGGACTCCCCGGTTTTAAAATAAGTTTTAAAAAATTGCTACAACAATAATATAAAAAGAAAGGTTACTGAACAGTTCTAATTATCTTCTTTTATTTCTTTTTCTCCTCAGACAAATGGACCATAATCAAATTTCATGTTTCCATAATGGAGCTTTCAGACCTTTGAGAAACTTGGAAATATTGTAAGTTTTAGGAGTAAATTCTTTTACCTGTTTTACATTGAATCTTTTAGATTGGCTGATGAAAGTGAGGCCATAAGGTCTTCTTGTTAGAACCTAAAATATTTACATTTCTGGTCACAACTTTTTTGGGTTTTAGAAAAATGCCAAAAAAGTAAAATAAAAGCACATGTTTTATTATGTTTTTAAAAGTGATATGAAAAAAAAAATCAATTTTGGAATACAAAATGCCCAGAATGCTACAATTTCATAATTTTGACATTGCATTACAAACAAGGATACCATACATAAATAATTCATTCAATTAATATTTGTCTTATACTTTGTACAGAACCCTGAATAATAACAATATTACAACATTGGAGACCAATGCATTCTTACAAATGAACAGACTCACCACACTGTAAGTATATATCCCTGCAGCTTAATGTCAACTATAAATTTCAGTGAATTTGTTGATAATCACAACATTTTGTACTACCGGTAGTAAAAATTTCTTAGGGGTCCAACAACACATCAAGTATCAGTGACTACTACTAAATTTTGTCTTCATGGAGTATCCTGAAATCCCCAATATTTCGAAAGATGAATTTCAGCTAAATTCTCAAGTCGGTGAAAAGCAGTTAATTTGGCTTGACCAGTCGGTGGTTGACATGGTAATGTTGTTTGATGTAATGTATAATGTTTCCTCCACAGGAGAATGGCATATAATGATTTTTCATGCGACTGCCACTTATCGTGGGTTGGACGATTTTTACGAATGCACCCGACTTTAGCGTTGTTCACTAGATGTCAGGAACCGAGGAGTTTAAAATATGTGAAAGTGGCCGAACTGCAAGACGTAGATTTCAAATGCAATGGTAAGGAACTCTTTATTTCTTAGTAGGACCCATATGATAGGACCAAGTCTTATTAAAATGCACTGGGAACTGTTTATCTAAGATAATCTGTTAACACCTCACACCACAAACTACCTTTACGAATTCGCAGCTCCCTGCTAACAGAATTTGTCAATAAAATAATAATCCCAAATAAATGACAAACTTTGTTAACCCAACAGTGTCTGCATATATACGCATTTAGGCACTAATTTTCTGTCTACCTGCACTGCTTCTTACATCAATGCACTGTATAGAGAAACACAGTCACCATGCACATGGTATCAATTGACACAGAGTTTATTGTTATCTCATTTCATTGTTTTTATATGTCTGAATGTTTTATGCCCGTTACATTTACTGTCTAAACATCAATAAACAAAGCCAGTTTCTAATGATCATTCTGCCAAATTGCTTGCTGTTTTTATCACATCATGGCAACAACTGTCAAGGGCCAGTAACTCTTATTCTTTACTTTTAATTCATTCTGCTAATACTTTAATTTATTTAAATTTAAAAGCTGATTTGACTGATTTGAGCAGCACACAAGATTTAATTCAAATTGGCAAAATGACAATTGAAATTAGAATTTCAGAATTAGAATTTTTTTTGGTGGTTTATGTTACTTTAAAAGCTGGCATTTAAAAAAAAAATAATGTTTTTAGTTGGAAAGATCCTTTCTGAAAGACTTCAGTTTTGGTTTGCTGAAACCAAACAGTCTTTAGTCTGTTTGTCTAGTCTCATCATAACATGAAAGTATTCGTGATTGCCTGAATGGTGTCATTGTGAACACATTAGACCCAGCGTGTGGATCCCTACGGGTTCCTAATGGCTAGTTTCTTGTACTGTATTCTGTGTAAAAACAAACTGCATCACATGGCCCTCCTTACTAACTGTCTGGAAACTACCCATACTTCATCACCTTGATAAATGGTTGGCATGGAAACAAATAGGGTGAATGCTCTCAGGGAATATTGTAGATTAGATCATTCGTGTAGGAACAACTATAATGACGCATTGGTGGAAAATTGATACATGATACTTTTTTGAATAATAAACATGATTTTTTAAAATAGCAAGAAAAGGAAAAAGTAATGTAAGTAGTTCATATCACCAGTATAATACAAAGTTTTATTCAGCTGGTATTACACTCTTTGTTCTCAACAAGATTTTAAGCTGCATGCTTAGGTACTAATACATCATATGACGTCATTTGGCATACAGATTTCTTCTCTACTTTCAATTTGATACAATTCAAGATGCTTTAGACTAATAACTGATGGACCCCTTCAATGTTACAAATATGCTATACTTTTTTTAGGGGGGGGGGGTAAATATTGATTACGGTAGTACATTTAATTTGGTTCTGCTGCTTATATGTTTCAATATCCTGTCTGTTGCGTGTTTATCGATATCACTCTCGTTGAAACCACACAGTCCTCCATCAGTTTGCCTAGTCTCATCACTGCAATTGTATAGAATACGCGTGTGAATCTGAAAAGTAAACCTTGCGAGTGTAAACCACACAAGTAGACGTGCTCCCATCAAAGGAATCCACTCCGTCTTATTGCTGCCGATAACAATAGCGATAAAACCAGATAAACAGGTATCAGGTGATTTCTTGCCATCTGCTGGAGCTTTTCAATATATGCTCGTGCTGCTCACCTGTTTCGGGCTGTAGTTCTGTTTAATGTTGACGATACTGAGTCAACAGCGTTTATAGCATTTTTTGCTTCACCTCTAGTAGCATATTTAGGTAATGGACGAGATGACCTAGTCCCCGTCTGACCTGAAGTAGGAACTATCTACTTGTATGATACTTAATCAAATTTGTTTAAGAGACATACAAGATAGTGGCACTCTATTTATCATCCTAAAAAAGGGTGGGTTGGAGGAGTAATGGTTTGCAGAGTAACTAGATGATTATTTTTTGAAATTATGTACAAATTCACTTGATATAAAACATATAATTTCAAGTGATGTTATAATGAAAGTTATTATGCATGTTTAATGCGTCGTGTTAAACTGTATTTGTGATACAGATCCCATTGGTCGGAAGTTATAAACTTTTTGGAGATTTTTGTTAATATCAATAATCTCAACTCAAATATTTGTTCTTAGATTTGATCGTACATTTTTTTTGCACATGATATAGGTAGTAGTGAAATTATTATACCTTTATACGATTGTTGCATACTCTTGTAATAATAAACCCTTTCACCTATAGTGAAATGGAATGTATCCTGGAATTGAAAAAATAATACATAATATGATTATAAGTCATTGTTTTTGCATTAATGTGAATGCCAGTTGTTACTTTTCCAAAATTAAACCAATATATTTTTCCCCCAAAAAATTAGATCCATTTCTTAAAAAAAACATTCAAAGAAAATTCTTAAAATGTGGCAAAATATTGGCGGCACAAACACGGCATTTGAAATAAACCAAATCTACATTTTTATCCCGTAATGCATGCTTGATGTTTAATATTGCGTTTTAAGTCACATGGAATCAATTTCAAACAGCTGACTCATCAATATTTTTTTTTTTTTTTTCAGGTTTGGAGAAAGATCATGCTACACTTTGTAAGATAGAACCTTTATGTCCAGCCAAGTGTTCATGCCTTGGTGGTGTAGTAGATTGTAGAGGGAAAGGTCTCACACAAGTACCGGAAATATTTCCTGAGAACACCATAGAACTGTGAGTCGTTATTCCTCAGATAGATCAGTTATCTTGGTGCTGACCACATATATTACCAGAGGTACATTACTTGGGGTTTGCAACGCACATAGTACTGTATGGTGACATCATGCCAAGATCCCATTCAAGTCTCATCTCGTAGATAGTGAGACTGACGCTACTACCTTCTGACATGACATACGCGGTTTGTAATAAAACAATAACACGTGTACTACCACATTCATAGCAAAAAATGTAATGCATCGAAAATGTACAGAAAATATAGTTATCGTAATCCGTCACATCGTGAACAGCTATTTTGATCCACCTGACATCCCAGTATCCTAGTTACCTCGGGCATGCGCATTTGCATTTTCAACGTTGGAACGCTTATGTGAGAGCGAGATTGAAACGGGATCTTGGTATCATGTCACCGTAGTTGCAAACCCTAAGTAATGTACCTCTGATATTACTTATAGATATTTTTAACCATTGTTTTCTCTTATCATTATGCATTTTGCACAGCCCTGAAAATAAAAATATATTATTTTGCTTGGCACAGCAGTTCTTTAATACTAGTAGTATATTTATGAGTTTTTTCAATATTCAATAATTTAGAATACCAATTTGGTTTCAAATCTGTGGCTTACCTTCTACTCTTCGATATGTTAGTCCAGCCTCACTCTCACTCCACTTTACTCTTCAGAACCAGTTTCTATCACTCAGTAACAATGTATATATCGCGTTTTACTCAGTGTATTACTACTGGGTCGAAAGTTAGAACTGCTGTTAAACTTTAATAGCATTCTAAATGTCATCTTTGTTGAGTTTGCTCTGTTACAAAGCAATCAAAAACTTACATAAACAATATTCTAACTGCTCAGTTTATATAATCACGAGACCGTACTCGATTTATTTCTTTTTTTTAGACACTTGTAGTGTTAATCATGTGAGGGGTACGTGCAAAGTGAAAGATTCTGACTTGGATAGAGTTGCGCTATAATCACATCTATGTTGTTAACGTTCAGTTTGACCCGTTTATTCTGTATGTGTGAGCTATTCAATTTTCAGAGCAACAGTCACGAGTTATGTTGTCAGGTCACTGCCACCAAGTGGGGAGTCGCTTCTTAAATTACTGGAAGTTAAAGATTTGGTTATATCATACGAGAACACATGCTGCACAAAATATGTTATAATTGTATCAAACTTTGCGGCATAATTAAACTAAATTGAACACAATTTAAATAGGGTTGATCCAACCTGGTGGTGGTAGGAAGAGGGGGATTTCTGTGAACAGTAACTGTTCAAAACTAGATTGATAAAAATAACATATTTTCTCTATTAGTTAATAGTATAAAGTGAAATTTAATATTTATAACTGTTATCCACTGTCCATTGGTCGTGTCTAAAAATAACTAATTTACATAAGGGGTATGTTTGCTATATGGTAGGATTGATTGCTACATTGTCTGGCTTGAATGATAAAAGGAGATTAAGCTGCATTTTTCTCAATTTGTTTTAATATTATTATGAAATCGAAACTAAGGCAAAATTATAGTTGAACAAAAATTTACTTTCCAGCTTTTTATAAGTACTGTTTGTATATGAGTGGCATGATCATTCTATTTCAAATTTTATTAATTATTAAATTATTATTATTATTATTATTATTAGTGTGTTTATTTGATATAGCACATATTGATACTGTAAATGCATTTATTATTTGCTGGTTTTTACCTTCTTTATTTTATTAAAAATACACTAACGATAACGATAGAACTGTCAAGTTCATGAACTTAAAACCCAGTGAGATTGCTCAAAACATCAAAATAGTGAAATTAAATGTCAGTGAAAATAAATGCTTTTACAGTAGCTTATTTTGGTTCAGTATAAACAAGGATTTAAAAAAATGAGAAAAAAATGACAAAAATGAAGTGAATTGCTGGGGTTTTATTGAATTTCTGCTCACCTTTACCTTGTTTTCAAAATTCATAGGAGACTGGAACAGAACCAGATTGTAAGAATCGAATCAAGATCATTTAATACTTACAAAAAGTTGAGAAGAATGTAAGTATTGAATCACCATTATTATTAATTAATAAATAATATCAAAGAAATCAATGATTCTTTGTAACCCCCCTTCAATTCATGGTTGGTTACAATTATGTACCATATATTTTTTACAGTGATTTGTTTTTATAATTTGTCTGGAATCGCAAAAAAAAAGAATGAAATGGCAATATTGCGATGTGATACACTAAAATAGCTACATTACTCAAAGTGTTGGCACAAAAAGTAATTGCTACATTGTAAGCAATATAGCTCTATCACTCACAAAACAATGTCTTATAGTGCAATAATGCTGTGCCATCATTTCATGTGCTTACAGTAATGTTTTTTAGGCACAAAAAATAGATTTGTGTCTGGTCAGCTCACAACAGTGTGAAAGTCTTGCAGTGCAACATGCGTTTTTGTTTGTTTCTTTAATATGCCAAATTGTTGCAAAAAATAAGAGAATTTCTCGGCAAAAAAAAATAAAAATGCATGTCAAGACAAGAATCAAATCAAATTTTTAGATTTTCGTTACTTTTTCAAAACCTAAATGATTTTATTATTGTTTACAGATGCTTTAACTTGATCTAGAACAGCAAAGCATAGAAAGAGTAATTATTTATGAATTACAACTGATCAAATTGTAGTACATGTATCACTCATGACCCAGTCTACAGATGACAAAATGTTTATTATTTTAACTATGTGAACTTGAACATGTGGTATTTTGAGTATCTGTATGTGATTCATTACAATAAAAATAAATCCGCCTACTATAAAAACACGATTAAAATTTTTGACTGACAGCAGTTCTGCTTGGTCAATTGTGTGACTATGTTGTTTTCATAATTTAAATAATATATTCATCCATTTTTTTGGCAGAGACCTGAGTAATAATTTGATATCTAGTTTGGCTGATGATGCATTTAGTGGACTAAAAGCATTGAACTCACTGTAAGTATAAAATTGAACTTTCACTTCTGAGTGAGTATGAGAACTCTGATTGGTGGACTGATATCATGTGATCTACACATTTTAGTTTTTATGTATCAGTGACTTTCACACGACTTTTAGATTCTCAATATATGCCAGTAGCTGAGCTACAATTGTAGAACCAGACTGTCTGTAAATGTGTGCCATTTCTAAAGCATTTGCTTTTCACTTAAGGTAGAAGCCTAGTCATAATTTTTGACAAAAATGGTCAAAAATCGTATGACAATGTTCATTAGTTTATTATGTACAATTATGAAGCTAATGTCTCATGGTAGAATTAAATAGCATTATTTTGTGTGTTACAGTTAAGCTTTTTGAGAAACGTGTCCTAATAATTCTTGAAAATTGCTATTTTTAGAACAATTCCACTATGTTAAAGAAAAATTGCATTTTTTGACACTTTTTAAAACCCAGATTTTTTAAATAACTCAGAACAACAAAAGTACTCCATCATTAACAATATATGATTTTTTCAGCCTATGTCACCAGGCTAGATTTTGAGATATTGCATAATATCTCTGCCATAGGAACCTATGATAAAAGCACTTTGTCGAGCGGAGCTTATCATATGAGTGATTGTCCGTAGTCCGTCGTCCGTGTCAATGTTTTACTTTTTCGACTTCTTCTTGAAAACTACAAGCCTGAATGCTTTGATACTTGGTGTATATGTACCTTGGGTAGACCTCTCTCAGATTTGTTCATTTCATGATCATATCTTCAATTCTCTAATTTTGGTGAATATTTTTGTCATTTTTGGTAAAAAGTGATATTTTCAACTTCTTGTTAAAAACCGCAAGTCCAATTGCTTTGATATTACATATATAGGTACTACATGTGGATCTCTCTCAGATTTGTTCATTTTGTAATGATATCTTTAGTTCTCTAATTTTAATGAATATTTTTGTAATTTTTGGTAAAAAGTGATATTTTCAACTTCTTGTTAAAAACCACAAGTCCAATTGCTTTGATATTACATATATAGGTACTACATGTGGACCTCTCTCAGATTTGTTCATTTTGTAATGATATCTTTAATTCTCTAATTTTGGTGAATATTTTTGGTAAAAAGTGATATTTTCGACTTCTTGTTAAAAACCACAAGTCCAATTGCTTTGATATTACATATATATTTACTACATGTGGACCACTCTCAAATTTGTTCATTTTGTAATGATATCGTCAATTCTCTAATTTTGGTGAATATTTTTTGTAATTTTTGGTAAAAAGTGATATTTTCGACTTCTTGTTAAAAACTGTAAGTCCGATTGCTTTGATACTATTCATATTGTTCATTTTCTAATGATATCTTCTGTTCTTTAATTGAAATGTGCATTGCTAACAGCGGAGCTATCTCAGCCGACAGGCTGCTTGTTTTAGGTCAATATCCTTATATTGCCTTGGAGTACAGTTTATTGCAAAATGAATAAATTCTGGGTATTTAATTTAGGAATAGGCTTCTACCTTAATTTCCACTCACATATCTACTAGGCTTGGTTATCTTGTTATGATATGTACAGTTTAAAATGAAATAAAGGCGTGGATTCAAGTTTGTTTTATGTGACCTCACACATGTTAACAATTTTTGTAAAATTACTGTAGACTGCTTTATTTTCGCAAGAGGAGAATTTCCCAAAGCAGTAAAAATGTCACTGATGTCCCAAAGATAATGGGTCACAGAGATTTTATCAAAATATTGTCTTCATGAATTCCATAAAAAACCATAAAAATAATAAACAGTGATAGTATAACATCACCTGTTGACGCCATTTTTTTCTGAATCATTTTGGCAAGCTGTTAAAACATTCAGCAAGTAATATGTTTACTACCTTATACTAAAATATGTTTGAATATTTAGAGTACTAACAAATTCCCACTTCCGGCCCGGTTAGAGGTAAAATACTAATACTGTGAAATACTTTATTTTAGCTGGAATTAATTTTTGTTTTTTTTGTATGAAATTTATTATTTATTGATTTTTGACAAGTTGAATGTAAATTATAGGAAAAAGGTATATTCGTTAGATTTTATTTTCACTGAGTCATTCCTTCAACGAAAATAGCGAGAATTAATTCCAAGCGAAAAAAATGTATTTCACAGTAGTTTGTAGTGTACTGGGTATACAACCTTTTTCCCCAGAGTGTAAACAATCCAGACAGTGCCCATAGCAACAATTACACAGTATGTTAAATATTACCCAGATAACAATGTCTTCATTAAAAAATATGAGACTATATTAGATCCTAATCTATCGTAAATTGGTTGAAATGGAGATGATATCGAGTGTTGCCTATAAAGATGATAAGTTACAGCCACTGACTTACTGGACAGAGAACAGCAGTACTGTTACTTGTGTACAGCTCTGCTTTGCCATTTACGACCTATCTAAATACCAGTCACAGGGGGTTAGAAGTGACCTTTGACCTTTCATATATACATTTCATTATAATGACCAAACATCTTGGTTGAAATTTCTAAAAATTAAATTGTGTAATTTAAGTCATATGAAACATTTTTTTAGTTTTGTTTTTTCTTTTTATTATTTATAATCTTTTTTTTCAAAAATGTGTTTTATTACATGTAACTTTTCCTCTTACTCAGGGGATTGAGTTAAGTGTTCATAAAGATTGATGTAAAACTTTTTTTTTTCATACAAAATTAAACGTGATGAGTAGTTTCCATGGTGATGTGCTGATGAGTATACTTGTAGAGTGTAGGGATTTATACACTGGAGTGGCTTAGATTAGACGTCCAGACAATCTGGAGTCAATCTAGGCTCCAGCAATATATTTACCTTGTTGATTTCGTCAGGGTGGGTCATTCAGAGTTCATTGCACTTTTGACCTATATTTGTAAAATACTTACTACTTCAGTTGATGTAATTTGTTGTCTATTAAAATGGTAATAGTAAAATCAATAATTACGTGATAGGAAAAAAAAATACCGTACCTATTGATTGGTCGATATGGGTCATGTGATCTATTATGCGGGTCATTCCCCTGCAGCACATGTTCAGATTTTATTATAAACAAACAATGTATTTTACATGCATTGTATATGTTGCCACGGTAACACAACACTGTGACTCCTTATAAACCTTTGAGCGCCTAAGTCAACTTTTCTCAACATTCACAAAATGAACTTTCATAATTTTTAAAATATTTTTTCAAAGATTTTGATCAAGACCAGTGATTCATGGGAAATTATGTTCATTTTGTCCAAAATTAAAAAAGAAATTATAGAAAAATATATTAAAATTTGCTGAATATTGCACCAGAATTTAGGCTGAAAAAAAATGTGGCCCTCAAAGTGTTAGCTTGAGAAATGTAACAGTGACACACCTTCTAATATGTAAAATACAATTTGTATGCGATGACGAGATTTGAAGTATTGTCATTCATTGCATTTAGGGTACTGTATGGTAATAAGATTTCCGAACTTCCCGCTGGATTATTAAAAGGACTGACATCGTTGCAGTTATTACTGTTAAACGCTAATAAGATAACGTGTTTACGAGTGGATACATTTCGTGATCTCTCTGCTCTCAATCTTCTGTAAGTATTGTTCTATTATTTATCGTTTCTCTGTATTGACAAAAAAGCCGTATATCAGTTTGCCCAATCATGAATTGAATAACAAAAGTAATGAGATATGCTTCGTATGTCTGCTCTTGAACACTTACTATGATTGGACTGTAATTCGTAGATAGTTATAGAGAAGAAGTTGAAAATCACTAGATATTGATTGACCTTATGTGATCTTGAAAGGTCATTGACCTTGATGAACTTTTCAACTTTTTTGTTTATTTGTACTAAAGAACTGATTTGATTAATAATTTTTTATTTATATGTTATAGGTCATTATATGACAATGATATCAAGTCTATTGCGAACGGAACTTTTATGCCGCTTGTCAGCGTACAAACATTGTAAGTATACAAACAATAATATTTGAAGCAAGCGCTTCCATGAGCAATGTTAAAACTAGTAAAAATACAACATCTTGTGTATTTCTAATTGAGAAAGTATATGTGCATTATTTGACATGTACTTGTAATAGAAGAAATACTGTACAGTACATGTACTTATACTGGAGGTGTACTTCTAATAGAGAAAATACAGTACATGTACGTTTATTGGAGGTGTGCTTCCAATAGAAGAAATACTAGTACAGTACATGTACTTCTATTGGAGATGTGCTTCTAATAGAGGAAATACGGTACATGTACTTTTATTGGAGGTGTGCTTCTAATAGAGGAAATACAGTACATGTACTTTTATTGAAGGTGTGTTTCTAACAGAGGAAATACAGTACATGTACTTTTATTGGCGGTGTGCTTCTAATAGAGGAAATACAGTACATGTACTTCTACTGGAAGTGTGCTGCTAATAGAGGAATTACAGTACATGTACTTTTATTGGAGGTGTGCTTCTAATAGAGGAAATACAGTACATGTACTTTAATTGAAAGTGTGCTTCTAATAAAGGAAATACAGTGAGACCAATGGTCTAATGACCAATTAGAGTTCACCAAGCTGATCCTAACTTGAGTCAAGTGCCTTATACAATGGTTGTACTCTACATTCTGCATGTCAATACCGGTAAACATGATACAAAGCCACCAAACACCAATTGACACAGTTTGTTCTGCGTACATTTATTTAAATGTTCGTATATTGTTCACCTATTAATCCGCTTTGACTTGATGACGAAATCTGTCGTCTAGTCGTCCCATATGCCAGGATGGCTAAGCTTGGCTTTCCAGATTCACCGCATTGATAGGTACTCTAGTTGGGCGCTGTACGCTCAGTATTCAAATTAACGTTGTTGACGATCAGTATGGGGCAACAGATAATGTGCGCAAGATGGATGAACAGTGTCGCCCGTTTACTAACTTGTATTGTCCTTTTGAAATTCATTCATGCAGTGTCTATAAAATACCAAGTAATCCAATTTGCCAAAATAACAATGGAGTGCGCCCATGCAGAAATGCTTCTTAGTCTGCAGTTATTCATTTATATCATCAGTACCATCCATTTCACTAACCGCCCTCATCAACACCTCAAACTTTCGGCTTTCACATTATTTGCAAGCGTATTTAAAATGACTTGCTTAAGTTTATTGAATGCCCTGAGGGGTCATCAACTTTCATATATATCCTAAGAAGTCATGCATTTATTGATTCACTTGAGGAGTCAGATGTTTATTAAGTACCCTAAGATATCGCCAACTTTTCATATGTTCTAAGGAGTCATTGATTAATTATATGACTTAGGGGGTCATAGATTTCTTGAGTGCCCTAAGGGGTCATAGATTTATAACCTGTCTAATGTAAATATTGCACCTGTTTTTTGTACTTTTTAGATTACTTATGCTCAACAACGAAATATTACCAAAACAAAACTGTTTTTTTTTTAATGTCAAATTATTAAAACACTAGAACCATATATCATCATATTAGTTAACCAGAATTTTCAGAAAACTGATCAACACTGGGAAACCTGTTACAAGTACTAATATGAGTTGTTATTGCCAGAAATGTTAATATATTGTGCACTTTGCGAGAAAACTAACTGTGAGGAACGTGCACATTTATTGCAGCATAGTGTTCAAATTCTACATGTGACATCATCGACACATTCCTCATTGCCACTTACAAGGTTTGTTGTCTGTTTTGTAAATCGAGTTAAATGCAAAAAATATCAAATTAGCAAATTTGACGCAGACAACATTCAGTATTTTTCTGTGATGGAGATTTTTCTTACCGGGGATGTTTTTGATTGTTTCCTGGAGAGTAAATTTCTCACATTACAGGTGAGGAACATGTTATGATATTATAGACTGTGAGATATCAGAGTAGAGATGATCATGATTCAGATTCAAAGGATTTCCTGGCTGACTTTTATTTTGATGTTCATCTGACAGAAGAATTCCATCTGGGGTACACACAAGCCACTTCCCCTCAGTCAATAGAAGGCGCTCAGTTAACCCCTATTATGTCATTGGCCAGAGGATTCTTCTTATTGGCTCCTAATACCTGCTTGGTCAGTTGGTCAGTTGGCCAGAATTCAGTGCTTTACTGTAAGTTATACTTGCATACAGAAACAATTATTGTTGATATCGCTGTCCAGCGAAGAAAACAAATCTGTGGTGTTTCTCAGTACTTTTTATCCACAATAAGAAGAAAAAGCTACACCAGTTAAGGAGGTCTTTTTATTTTTTTGGAAATAATTGGAATTTCAACCACCTCAATTTGCTTTCACTGTGTACTTGTAATTGTAAATAAATTGCTATTATCAAAGCACAATTGGTATATTGAAATCCGACAATAGTACTACTGTTAATGGCGTGGTTCACTTCACTGGCCCTGCTCTCCAGAGACCCCTCTCACAAGAGTGAAATTCTTGTGGACTCTAAAAACTGCTTTAACTAGGCTATCCCGTTGCATAGCTTGTTGACACCTTTCCAAACAGGCACTCCATTGGAGATAATAAAACCAACATACTGGACCTACAGATACTTACATGCGGTTTCTGTAAAGTTGTTTTCATGTGACTGCAGTACACATGGGATTTGTTTATCAGGACAAAAGAAAAACAATAGTAGTTTGCTTTAACTGCCAGAGAGGGCGCTGATTTATCAAACCATCTTAATATTTTTTCATTCCCTTCTGTTTTGCAGACACTTAGCCAAAAATCCTTTCATTTGTGACTGTAATTTGAAATGGCTGTCGGAATATTTGCACAATAATCCTGGAATAGAAACAAGTGGTGCACGATGTGAAAACCCACGAAGAATGAGCAACAAAAGAATTGGACAAGTCAAACCCGTAAAGTTCAAGTGCAAAGGTATTCTTATTTTCACACCATTCTCACTTATGCAACAATATTTTGCTACTAAGCACCTGTAACTTTTACATCAGTAGTGTTTATTTTGACCACGGACACACCTTTGTTATTTCACGTATGCACATGTGCTACTAATTTACACACATAGAACCAGAGAGAAAACAGAGATATTTAAGGTAGAAGCCTACTCATAATTTTTGAGAATGTTGGTTATAAATCACATGACAATGTTCATTGTTCTATTATGTACCCCATTATTAACAATAGCCTATGTCGCCAGCCTACAATTTGAAATATGGCATAATACCTCTCCAATAGGAACCTATGGTAAAAGCGCTATGACACTGCCAAAATGGCAGACTATCCACTAAAATACAACCATCATTTTCTTGAAACTTATGCTGGTGATTCCAACTTTTTTAAAATCAATATGATTATATTGCCCGGGAATACAATTTATTGGAAAATGAATAACTTCTAGCTATTTGCATTCATGAGTACCGATAGGCTTCTACCTTAATGTAGTAAACATTTGCTGACATAACAAAATGTTTGCATCTATAATGATATAATAATTGATTATAACAGCAATATTCACTATAAAGTGCTCTGTGGTAACAGTAATCTCCTATAAACATCAATTGTTTTTATCGTTCAGGTTCTGAAGAATACCGCACAAAACAAGCAGGACAGTGTATCATTGATACGGATTGTCCTGCGCAATGTTTATGTGAAGGCACTATTATTGACTGCTCTGCTATCGGATTAAAAGAGGTACCGGACGACATTCCAGGATTTGCCACAGAACTGTAAGTATCGTTTAAATTCTAGTCGTTGCTAAAAAGTCTGTCATTAATTTGATTAAATTTAGATCTAATTGTTTTGGCTTTTGAGTAACATTTTTTACTTTTCTTTACATTTTTCCATCATTTTGTTTTATTGTAAAAACAACACGTAGATCTGACTAACTCCCTCAAGAAGTCTTGTTTAAATCCTGCTGAGTCCAATCACAATACATGTTGCTTTATGTACATTGTTGTAAGATGTTTCTGAGGGGCAAGAGACAAGGATGTACATTGAACTTGATATCAGTGCTTCCCACAATGCATTTTGCTCCCATCAGTTTGTAATGCTCTTAGCTTCTCACAATGTAATGTTCCTCCACTCAGTTAACGATGCTTCCATTAGTTTTGATGCTATGAGATTCCCACAATGCAACGTGCTCCCATCAGTTTGTATAAATGTTCTTAGCTTCCCATAATGCAATGTGCTCCCACCCAGTTAACAATGCTTCCATTAGTTTTGATGCTATGAGCTGTCCTCATTCCAATATTCTCAGTAATATGCCATAGTTGTATTGGTGGTGTGCCCTTGGCTACACAAGATAAACCAGGATGTCATTCAACGTAAACTGTCAACTTAAACTGTCGACTGTCAACCAAAGCTGTAATCTCCTTAACAGGAAAGTGTGAACGGTTGTTTGTTGTTAACTGTGAAGTCACTTGACTGCATATAATTGTGTCAATACATCACATTCACTTAAAATTAAATCAGGTTAGCATCAAGGATGTTCCAATCCTAAATTTGCATGTCGCTGAGAGCTGCCACTTTCCCTTAGGGTAATTCTGTTTCTATAACCTTCAGAAAAGGGTTTAATTTCAATTGCTTAAACAATCTGTCCTGTTGTAGATTATTGTGTTGAGGTGTGAATGGTAGTGTTCATGCATTATGTGACTTCCTGAGTTGTTGAAAAGAGGAATTATCAAAGTAACTAGGAGTACGTCCTTGGATTCCCAGAGAATAGAGTAACTTTTTTACTCAGTTGGCTGAAGAGTGATACAAGTATAACTACTTTGTATGACAGATAAAAAAAAACACTTGTTAGATTTAAGGTTCAATGTTACTCAAATGTAAAAATAATATTATTTTTATAAATGAGACTTGAGACAAGTGAGTTTATGCCACATGGATAGAGGAAATGAAATAATAATATTGGATCACAGTTCTTGGCTTGGAGAAAATCTATGTAAAAAATGATGTGGAAATAAAATTTGTCTGTTCAAAGGCATTTTAACATTGTTAAACACTTACATTTATTTGAAAAAAAGAAAAACACTTGTTTATCTTAAAGAAGTTTCTCACAAATGACCTGAAATTGACAGAATTTGTGTTAATGCAAAATATTTTTGCTCCATACTCAAAGTAAATTGAGTCGGTGGGAAAATTGTCTATACAGCTGAGTGGTTATCACACAAAATAGGTTCTGTAATTGGTTGTTTCCTAAGTTAACAGTTTGACTAATTTGTACTTTACAAACTGTCTGACTTACTTTTATGACAATTTAAGAGTGAAAAAAAAAATAATATCTAAATAAAATCACAGGAATTAGCATTTTATATGTAGTCTTCTATTATGTCATATTGTTACTTGCAATGCATCATGGGATATTACTTAGTAAGTATGTATAATACAACGTTTCTTGCAGTTCACACAGTTTATAGTAGATTTGATCCCTTCAATGTCATCATTTTTGTTTCTAACAGACGATTGAACGACAATGAAATAACAAAGGTTTCAGCTACTGGTATATTTCTCAGACTTCCAGAACTAAGAAAATTGTAAGTTAATTGCGTCAGAATTTCTCTTACATCATAGGATAATTGCAATTATATGTCTGTCTGTCAGTTCTATCACTTTCTCGCAAAACATGTCTCAAAGTATTCTTCTATAACTAAAACCATGTTTAATAGTAATTTAAAATTTATTTGAAAATTTTTTGATTTTCAAGAATTTGATGTAAAAGTATGATTTGTGTTTATTTTCCCAGGGATCTCCGCAACAATAGAATCAGTGTGATTGAAGATGGCGCTTTCATTGGTGCTGTGATGTTATCTGACTTGTAAGTAGAGCTCCATTCACATTTCATTACATGCTATTTGCTTTGTGAGACTTTTGGAATTTGAAATATTTGAAATATTTGAAATAGACTATAAGAAATATAACATCATAATATGGCTGCCTTTGTGATTCAAAATGGCTGCCGTTCCTAAAACTAACTAGCATAATTTGGAAAATATCTAGTAAAATAGAAATGCTGTAAAAAAAAGCATTTTTTTTATTATCAGTTTGAGCTGTCCTATTTGAAATTGCAAGTTTTGTTAAATGGACTTTCACTTTTTACGTTTTTAACGACAAAGATCTGTGTGTATTAAAATATGCAAATCATATTCAGTACCTGTAATATTGTACATGATATGGAAATATCCGTTTTCATGTACACTGTACATTAAATATGTTGCCTTTGATTTTTATGTTTATGGTGTGTTCATATTTTTACATCATAATACTGTTTTAATAATACTGAAATTTATTGATAATCTTTAAAAATAAAAATCAACAATGTTCTTGTATAATAGTTATCAACAAATATGCTGAATTGTGACCAGATTTATTGCGCATATTATAGTCGCATTGACATATTACAATATGTTTACACTGATGCTCATTTGTTTAAAGTACTTCTTACATAGATGCTCTTTTGTTTATGTACTGTATCCATTTTGAGGCTTTGACCCCTGACCTGAGTAACAGTTTAGTATTCCAGTATTCTAAAATGGCTGACCGGTATTAGTAAACTTCAGACTTAAACCACACTAAATATAATATTTCAGAATCTCTGAACATCAAAAAATATTAATAGCCAAGTAATCATATGCAATAATAATGAAAGAATTTATATTTTTATTTCGTTTTACTTACTGCATTGATGTGATATTTTTTATGATTATTCCTGTGAGAAATTATTTAGGATAGTTTGGGTGTTGTATTGCTTTGATTAATAAATCACATTTTTGTTATAACTAAAAGATATTTTCTCTAATATATCACTTTTTTGAATAATTAAATAATACTTGGCACAAATTCAATAACATTTTTGTGTTCTTTCACCAAATCTTATTTTTTTGCACCACAATCTCATTAATTCACACCAAATTGCTATAACTGCACTTTTTGTTCAGTTCAAGGGGTGTATTTTATTAAAACCAAGTGATTTATTTTTAATTATCTTTTGTTAACAAGGTGATGATATGTGTTTATATATAACATTTATTATGCAAAATTTGCTTTTAACAATTTTTTTTATTTATGCTTTCTGCACAATTCAAGACTGTTAACAAATAACAAGCTGAGCAAAGTTAAGGGAAGCATGTTTGTTGGAGTTAGAAATTTAAAAACAATGTAAGTCCCATATGTGTGTGGAAATAGCATGCATTTGAAGCACCTCTATCTTCATGCTTTTGTTAATTTTCTTTATAAATGCATGGTTGATTATCATCTGCTTTTAGTTTTCTGTAGTTTTGAAAGATATAGAATAAAATATATTATAAACAAAAGAAAATATAGAAATATAGAAAATATTTTGAGCTGTTCTTCCCCCAAATACATATAATGCAGTATTAACTATGGTGTTGTTGACAATTTATAAGTTCTTTGTAGTTGATGACTGGAAGATGCCAGTGAGGTAGTTGTTGAGTCGACTGTTTACTTGAATTATGGTACATGTGCTGTATCGGTGGCGTGCTTCTATTAGAGTAAATATGGTACATTTGCTGTATTGCTGGTGTGCTTCTATTAGAGTAAATCTGGTACATGTGCTGTATTGGTGGTGTGCTTCTATTAGAGTAAATATGGTACATTTGCTGTATTGCAGGTGTGCTTCTATTAGAGTAAATCTGGTACATGTGCTGTATTGGTGGTGTGCTTCTATAGAGTAAATGTGGTACATGTGCTGTATTGGTGGCATGCTTCTATTAGAGTAAATATGGTACATGTGCTGTATTGGTGGTGTGCTTCTAATGGAGTAAATATGGTACATGTGCTGTATTGGTAGTGTGCTTCCATTAGAGTAAATATGGTACATGTGCTGCATTGGTGGTGTGCTTCTAATATAGTAAATATGGTACATGTGCTGTATTGGCGGTGTGCTTCTAATAGAGTACATATGGTACATGTGCTGTATCGGTGGCGTGCTTCTATTAGAGTAAATATGGTACATTTACTGTATTGGTGGTGTACTTCTACCGTATTAGAGTAAATATGGTACATGTACATGTGCTGTATTGGTGGTGTGCTTCCATTAGAGTGAATATGGTACATGTGCTGTATTGGTGGTGTGCTTCTAATAGAGTAAATATGGTACATGTGCTGTATTGGTGGTGTGCTTCTAATAGAGTAAATATGGTACATGTGCTGTATTGGTGGTGTGCTTCTAATAGAGTAAATATGGTACATGTGCTGTATTGGTGGTGTGCTTCTAATAGAGTAAATATGGTACATGTGCTGTATTGGTGGTGTGCTTCTAATAGAGTAAATATGGTACATGTGCTGTATTGGTGGTGTGCTTCTATTAGAGTAAATATGGTACTGTATTGGTGGATAATTCGTATGCTTACCGCACCATTATTGGTCCCAACCAATACCCTCAGCGTTGTGCTGTAGTTAGTGTCTTGCTAGCTCACCTGCAGGCATTCACCTCCCGGCCAGAACCCAATCCATGAATGAAACCCCCCATTGTTGCCTCAATCTATTAATACTATATATTATTTTCATAAATAATGTGCATTTCAATTGCAATTTTATTGTCATAGTAATTAATACTAACAGCATCAATTTAATGAAAATTTTTCTTCATTCAACTTAAATTATCATTGTGATCATCCCTAGATATTCAATGTTCTTTTCTGACAGGTGAATTTTGTTTTGTGTTTGCTATTAAGTCTTGGTATGCTCTAGTGAAGTTTTATTCCCTTATTTAATTATATGGCAGTCCAAAACTATGTCCCATGTTTATTTTGTGAGGGGCACATTCTCGTGATTTTGAGAAAATCCCCAAATCTGGTATCACCACAGTCCCTCTGTGGTATCACTAAACAGCTCCTGAGAGTCTCTAACACAAGGGAGTGTTGGTGACTTTATTAAAATTTTGCCTGCATAAACAGACAAACCTTTCTTGCAGCAAAAGTTTAATGGCTCACAGATGATTATATTATCTAAACTACTTTGCATTATACAATGCTGATAGAGTCATGTGATTCAATCGCTAACACATTAGACCTTTAAAATAATGCAAAAAAAACCAAAACAAATTCAAACATTATATAAAAAGTATCAAGACAATTACAAAAACTTAGATGCCAGTGTTGTATTACATGAACGAATGAATATTAATACTTGGTGCAGTTGCATACTGTGATGAAATGACATGAGTTAATACGGCAGAATTGTCATGGAAACTAATATATCTACTTCTCATAATAGAATGCTACGTAGTAACCAGATCTCCTGCATCAACAATGAAACGTTCTCGGGTTTAACAAAAGTCAGACTGCTGTAAGTATCCATAACCTCATGAATTTGTCGTTACTCGAAATGAATATGAAATGAAATGAGTCTCATGTAATGGCAGCTGTAGTGGGTTGAAGCACTGAAATCTGTGATCTGTTTTCAAAACTGATAAATAATTTGTGATACAGCCACTAGGGGGCGCTGCTTTTCTAAAATTGTTTGTTTTTGTTTCAGATCATTGTATGACAATCAGATAAGGACTGTGATGCCAGGTTCATTTGATAATCTTAAAGAACTCTCCACTCTGTAAGTATAAAGCTGATCAAATGACTGGACTGCTATTTTACTTGCATCATTGACAGACTCATTGAGTTATTATCCCATAATGCATTGCATAAATGATCAAGAACATGCTCAGAGTTTAAATTTGCCATATATAAAATGTACCTAGAATGTTGAATGTTGAAGCTTGCTTGCAAACAGGTTTGTATCACAAGGTAAATTAGTTTTGCTATATCTTTTTTTAACACTAGAAACCTGCTGTCCAATCCGTTTAACTGTAACTGTCATTTAGGATGGCTAGCTGATTGGTTGAAATCACGTACTATTGTTACGGGGAATCCAAGATGTCAGGCTCCTTCTCATCTTCGAGAAATACCAATACAGGATCTTAAAAAATATGACTTCAGTTGTGACAGTAAGTAAACACATAAATATCTTGAAGTTATAAATAATTTTTTTTTGAATGTTTTAATTCCAGTGAAACAGTCAATGTGACTCCCTAGGATCCCAGTAAAAGTCATTGTGACTCTATAGGACCCAAGTGAAAGTCATTGTGACTCCCTAATGGTAATACCCAGTGAAAGTCATTGTGATTCCCTAATGGTAATACCCAGTGAAAGTCATTGTGACTCCCTAATGGTAATACCCAGTGAAAGTCATTGTGACTCCCTAATACCAAGTAAAAGTTACTGTGACTCCCTAAGGCCCCAGTGAATGTCATTGAACCTATAGGACCCCAGTGAAAGTCATTGTGACTCCCTAAGATCCCAGTGAAAGTCAGTGAATTCTTAGTACCCCAGTAAAAGTCAGTGACTCACTAGGACCCCAGTCAAAGTCATTGTGACTCCCTAAGATCCCAGTGAAAGTCAGTGACTCACTAGGACCCCAGTCAAAGTCATTGTGACTCCCTAAGATCCCAGTCAAAGTCAGTGACTCACTAGGACCCCAGTCAAAGTCATTGTGACTCCCTAAGACCCTAGTGAAAATCACTATGACTCCAGAGTGAAATGTTTTCAGCTACAATTTACAGTGATCATTTCTCCTCCTTGGTATGTAAGAAGCACTGAAAAATGTCTCTATGGAGGACTGATTAATGTGTTAATATATTTCAGGTAACAATGACAACAGTTGTCTACCGTCTCTTGCTTGTCCACGGAATTGTGCGTGTTATGGTACTGTGGTTCGATGCAGTAATAAACAACTGACTAACCCTCCATATAATATACCTAATGAAACAACTGAACTGTAAGTACTGAACTTTATATTATATTATAAAATGAACCATGGAAATAAGAATTTCATTTAAACTTTTTTATTAACAGTTGTAGAAAAAGTGTGTGCTTTGAACTTATGAACTTATTCTTTTGTTTTTATGTTAAAGGCCAATAGAGGGCAACATACTGCAATGCCTGTCAGTATCTTGAGAAACAAGAAATCTACTTAAAATTATAGTATAATGGGGACATTAAAGAAACGCTTCTGATAATTGTTATAACAGTTGATGATTTCACTTACAGTCAAATCATGGTATCTCTGTCCTTATAATTCTATTTATTTTTAACAGCTATCTGGATGTCAATAAATTGAAGTCTATTCCTGATTTGTCACGCCTGAAAAACCTCCACACAATGTAAGTCTGTACTTTATATGACACAATTGTAACATGGATACTAACATGGGCTATGAAGATTATTCAAACATTTATCCCATCATGCATTGCTGTTACAAATTCTGCTTCTGGTACTCGCTAAACGTAACAGGCCTTGGAAGTTTATGTCTTATTCAATGTTGTGTATGTTGAGTTGTTAATGACTGTGGTTATTGTCTGATACCCCGGTACATTTATTTATGAATTAAGTTATTTCATGTACTGTAAAAGGGTTAATTATTCACTGGGTTTTAATTTTGTTATTTCGCTGACTGGAAAATGCGCTAAATTAAAACCCAGTGAATATGTAAAATTGAGCATAGAACACATTATCTAAATGATAAAACCGTGAATTTAAAACCCACTGAATATGCCTGAAATGGTAAATCAGTGAAATTTAAACCAAGTGAAAATTAGTCATTTTACAGTACACCATTTTCATATTAAAGTCACTTGAAATGTGCAACACACATGGTTTTGAAGTCATGTAACAATGTGAATGAATCACTATAATTTTTTTTTTTTTTGCAGTGATTTGAGTAATAATGATATCACCACCATCACGAACACTACCTTTGCAAACTTACCCAAGCTTGCAACATTGTAAGTAAGATGCTTGAATTTTATTTGTTTAATTTAGCCATATATTCATGCTAATATTTATATGAAATTGATTTATTCTCCATTACCTCACTTCAGACTACTTGTGTCCTGTTCACATTCAACATAATTAGATTTGAATTCTTTTATTGGTGTTTTTACATGTCTGTGTTTTTACTGCTGCTTATTATCCTCATACCTTTGCCCTTCTTTGATGGTATTGAAAATAATAAATAATTCTCTAGTCTTTCAAAACACACTCAAATTCTTTCACCAAAATTTTTGTGGAACATTTCTTTGAAAATTTAGGACCAAATTGACAGTTTTTGCTACAGTAAAAAATTGTCTTTGATATACTGTTATCATAGTTTGTATGCAAAACAGTACATCTGTATTGAATAAAATATTATAATGTACACAAATTAGAAATAAACTATAGGTCGAACTGGATACCCGTCTGAGCCAAACACTGTGTGAACTGAAAATCTGTTTGAAACTCTACAGCGTTTCCAGTCTTTTTCCCAAGCTTGCTTATTTACATTTACCTCTTCCTTTGATTAAGATGTATCTCAAACAATACAACAACCGTATTCCTCTATATGTCCTGTTATTGTTGCCATTCCTTTTTTTCCATTAGAATCCTAAGCTACAACCATATTGGCTGTATACCTCCTGGTACATTCAGAGGTCTCCATTCCCTGCGCATATTGTGAGTATCCATAATGACAATCTTATCTGTTTTTTTCATGCTATGTACGTTCAGATTGCTTAGTTACAATAATATTACTTGTATTAAACCTGGACTTTTTGAAGGACTACATGCACTGAGGGTTCTGTGAGTATGCCACCAACACAACTGTTATATTATTGCATCACTGACCTGTTCACAACATACAAATGTAATTAATTATCTAGTTGTGCCATAAAACAGGAGCCAGCCTAACGTTTGAAATGTATTTTCACTGTTTAATTCATTCCACTCAAAAAATCTGTAAAATATTGTCTTGCATGAAATTAAAGCAATTTAAAATGTACTCCTTATTGAATAATTCATCAAATGGGGAGGATCATTTGACATTAACTCTAAAGTAGGTTAGATGCATACTTAAAATGATTCTGTTGAGTGCAGAGCTGTGTCGAAATTAGTAAAATAAAAGTACATTATGCAGCTAATTCAATACAGAATATGTTCTTACAACTTGTATTCCTAATAATAGTGGAAAACAACAATATGATAGACATATAATGCTTATATTTTCAGATCTCTCCATGGTAACGACATCTCTACTCTTCCATCAGGAGCATTCGATGAACTAGAGTCGCTTTCGCATATGTGAGTATTAAATTAGATGTTAAAGTGAGATATTAAAATTAATTGCTAAATTTGAAAAGGTTGAAACAGATTTGATAACAGTTATATTTTCTTGAAATAGACCAAGGTGATGCTGATGTATGTCTCCTACCGCTGACAGCCCCCTCATTAATTTGTGTTAGTTCCAAAATATAATGAATTATTAAAAAGAACACCAACATTACTTACTATTCAGATACTCATATAGTGGTTAATTTTGTTGCAACTAATTAAATTTGGTAACACATGTGGTTTTTAAAATCAACAACTAGCTTGACTTTTTTTTCTCTTGTGTATCAAAGAATCTGTTACCACTATTAATATCTCTTACCAATACATGTATGGTATGATTTTTCTGTAATTGTCAATCAATAATTTGTTTTAAAAAAGTGTTCTTTTGTTCTTTGTTATTGCTGTTTAAATATTTTCAATTTCAAAGTTATAGTTATAGGAAAGTTATAGGACAATATCAGATTTTAAACTAAATTACTTTTAAAATTATTTTCTTGCTGACAGTGCCCTTGGTGCCAATCCACTTTACTGTGATTGTAGTTTGAGATGGTTGTCAGACTGGGTAAAATCTGGTTTCAAGGAGCCAGGTATTGCACGATGTTCTGGTCCATACAATTTGCAAGAAAAGCTTCTTTTGACAGCACCAACAAGAAAGTTTGAATGTAATGGTAAGTTATCAAAATAGTTATAAATCAACTGAAAAAAGTGAACAAAAAAATTTAAATGCGGTTCGAAAGTTGTGGGTATCAATGATCTGAGGTTGAGATTCAGTTTGTGTCATCTTTGATTTGGAGTGGATTCTGATAGTTTACCGCTCACAGATGACCATTTGCTCAACAAGTGTTTTGATTTAGGGATGTCAGACCAAACTGTGAATACTGTTACAAATGGCAATTCAATCCCTAGTCTTTGGCCGCAAAATTGTAACATTTTTTTAACTGTTTTTTCATCTACAGAGATCCCTGACCTGTCAATTCTTGCTAAGTGTAATCCGTGTTTAGCTGAGCCGTGTTTAAATGATGGTGAATGTCACAATGGTGAATATGCTGGATATATATGTAAATGTGCCAGTGGGTTCAAAGGTCAGAACTGTGAGGAAGAGATCAATGAATGTGATAATGAACCCTGTAAAAATGGAGCTACATGCTACAAACAAAAAAAAGATTTCAGGTATTAAACCATTTTTTAAAAATTATATTAGTATGTTATATATATATATTTTTATTGCTGTCAACCAATAAATACTATTTCTAAGGATGCAGTAAATTATTATTATTATTGTTATTATTGTTGTTGTTGTTGTTAAATGTAGAACTTCATTGATAATGTATACCCTCCTATCCCTACCCACAATTACGACAATTTGTTTTTATATCTTTTCTGTATTTCAGCTGCGAATGTCCAATAGGTTTTGTTGGTGATTTCTGTGAAGATAATATAAATGATTGTTTATTAAATAATTGTATGAATAATGCCACATGTATTGATGCAGTTAATAACTATACTTGTCAGTGTTCACCTGGATTTACTGGTGAGTGCCTCCAAATACTAACCTTCAATGCAGTCTGGCACTATTGTCATTTACCCAACATGTATTCTTGGGGGCAGACATTTAGAGATTTTCATCACCTGGAAACGATCGCTAAAGCTTTGGGATAGTGATTGAGACACTCCTAAACAGTGTAACAAAATAACCCCCTACATATGCAGCATATATATATATATTTGGTTGCTCAGGATTACCTCAAAGTTGAGTTTTTCTCAAGTTTAGTTGTTTTCATCTTGAAACGTAGGAAGAAAAACTTTATACAGTCCTGTATGTCTTAGCAACAACACATTCTTTGACTTAAGCTCAGTTTTTTGTCCAACATGATTCCAGAGACATACTTCCACCGATTTTGTTTAAACATATAGAAGTCTTCAGATTTACGGTCTGAGTTTGACTGACTGGCAACGATTTTGTAAAAATCACACGTACATGTTTATCAATTCTTGATGCTTCATTTTAGGATTTAAACAGTAAAACTACCAAGCCACAATAAATAAAAATGGCTACCTGTCAGCCATTACTATCCCCAAACCCAATACTAGTATTTCACCATATGCTACTCCTGCTAAGTAGGAATGTTCTGGTTTGTACATTGTCATACAAACATATTTTGCAGTAAATTTTTTGGTGAAACATTTTTATACACATATCTTTGTTAGATTGATTATATGAATATAATTTTTCACTGGCTACAGGTCTTGTTCAACCTTTTGACAAAATATGGGAAAAATTATTTTATTTTGTGAAAGGTGACAAAAGTTAATTGTGGTTTTAAAAGGGATATAAATGAGTGACCCATTAAATTATTTACTTACAGGTGTTTTCTGTGAAACTGATATCAATTTCTGTGAGCTATTCATCAATCCATGTAAAAATGGAGGTACATGTGTTGACCTTGTTAATGAATACAGGTAGGTACAAATACTATTATTTAATTTTTTTTTACTTTCTATCATCTGTTGTGTATACATAGCATTGTTGTGCAAAACATTTCACTGTAACTTTGTTGCATACAAAATAATAATCGTTAGTTTCAGAAATAACAAGTATGGTTATGTTATAGAAGACAGTCATTATGTTTGAAATTTTGAAAGAAAAATTATATAAAATTTTTTGATTTTTTTTGTTTAGTGTCACTTCATTGCTAATGATAGATATATATCATTCATATAAGTCTAGCGTTGCAAAATTCATGATGAAAGAAATATCTCTAAGTGTGTCAACTTTTTTCTGATTGTATCTCCCAACAACCAAATTTGATATTCATGGATGAATACAGATAAAAAAATATTGACACTGTAAACGTAATAGAAGTATTGTGCAATCTGTCTTCTACTAATATTGTACAATGAAACAGAGGGAATGATGTGGCTTTTATTACATATGTATATTTTTTTGTTTTAAATTGTTAAAATAGAACTTGTGCTTCTGTTGGGGATGCGGCTTATAATACTGATTTTATGGCATTATGTTTCTAGACTCCATGATGTAAATATTTCCTAGATGGTGAAAATAATGTAATTAATTTACATTGTTCAGTCATGTATTTCCCACCACCCATGTCACAAAGACACTTTTTCATATTACTCATATTCAATCTTGTTTTATACATGGCAGATGTGACTGTCCAGAAGGATATGTAGATGTACATTGTAGCTCTACCAACCAGAACTGTAAAGACGTCAAATGTCAGAATGGTGGAACGTGTGTGGATGATGAAAAGGAAGACTATACGTGTAAATGTCCGTCTGGATTCAACGGGCCACACTGCGAGTACTCACCGAGGGTGTTCAGTCAGCATACCAGTCCATGTCAGTACCAAGACTGTAAAAATAACGGACAATGTTACTACAATAATGTTACAGGTAACTATGGTTGCAACTGTTTACCTGGTTTCCATGGTGATAAATGTGAGATGATCATCAGCGTAACCTTCACGCAGAAGGATTCTTACGTACAGTATCATAAATTGGAGAATAAACCTAAAGCCAATATTACAATGGTATTTGCTACGAGACAAGAAAATGGAATTCTGTTTTATAATGGATTAATGGATCACATTGCGGTTGAGTTATTCTACGGACGTGTTCGTGTAAGCTACGATGTCGGTAACTACCCTGTCTCCACTATGTTCAGTTATGAAAAGATCAACGATGGTAATTTTCACTCGTTGGAAATATTGGCCGTGAAACAGAACATAACAATGCGTGTCGACGATGGCAATCCAAATACAGCAACCAATAAAGGGGACAATGAATATTTAAATGTGGAAACTCCACTTTACATCGGTGGACTGCCGGAAGAAGTAATCAAAGGGCCTGCTGTTAGGCTTGTACATGTAAGGAATGGAACTAGTTTTAATGGTGAGTTAGACATCCCAGATATTGTGTGATTGGTGTTTTTAATTATTATGATTTCGAAATATGGATGTGATAATGAATTATTGTGATTGGCCACATTTTCTGTATTGCTTCTCTGTAACTTCCAAATATGGATGTAATTTGATCTTTGTGATTGGCCACAGTTTCCATATTGACTCTCTGTAACTTCCAAATATGGATGTAATTTGATCATTGTGATTGGCCACAGTTTCCATATTGACTCTCTGTAACTTACAAATATGGATGTAATTTGATCATTGTGATTGGCCACATTTTCCATATCGACTCTCTGTAACTTCCAAATATGGATGTAATTTGATCATTGTGATTGGCCACATTTTCCATATTGACTCTCGATAACTTCAAGTCGTCATTTAAATTTTCTTTTCATATGCATGTGATTTGAATTGTGAATGTTTTAATCATATTCCAATCATACATTACAAATTTTGTTTTATTTCTAATTGTTCATTTCGCCAGGTTGTATGAGGACTGTTTTATTGAACGGCGAGTACCTGGATTACACCAAAAGTGAAGAGATGCAAGGCATAGCCCCAGGATGTCCAACTTATGACAAACCTGATCCGTGTATCATGCATATGTGTAAACAAGGTTTCTGTCGAGCTCTGGACACGTATAGCTACGTGTGTGACTGTTTAGATGGGTGGATGGGTGCAAAATGTGATAATCGTAAGTGAAACAAATAATACATAAATATCTTTTAAGCCCGTCAAAATTAGTTCTGTTTCTGGTTGGCATGCGTGTCAGTTCCAAAGGCCGCTCAGAGCTTTGTTCTGCTCCGCTGTCAACTTTGTTCGAGGCTTATCATATAAGTGATTGTCCAGTGTCCGGTGTTGTCTGTGTCAACTTTTTTGACTTCTTCTTGAAAATTACTATTCTTATTGCTTTGATACGTGGTGTACATGTACCTTGGGCAGACCTCTCTTAGATTTGTCCATTTCATGAAGATATTTTCAATTCTATAATTCTGATCAATATTTTTGTCATTTTTGTTAAAAAGTGATATTTTCGACTTCTTGTTGAAAACCGCAAGTCCGATTGCTTTGATATTATAAATTGGATGACCTTGCCAAATATTGTAGCAGTGAATATTTCAACAGATAGTCCCAGTGACTTTTAACTAATTGATAGTGGTAATAAGAGTGGCAGTATGAAATTTACACTTATTTATATTTTCAGCTACAACCTGTGTTGGGCAGCATTACCGTGAAGTTATTGAAGATGAGGATGGATGCAAGAGTAGGCGTCTTATTGAAAACATGCGATGCGCAGGAGAATGTGGCAACTCCTGCTGTCGACCGCAGCGTGTGCGCCGACGGAAGGTTACGCTCCAGTGTGAAGATGGAACCAGTCGGAGCAAGCAAATTGATGTGACAAAGACGTGTGCTTGTCAGTGGTGCGGCGACTTAACATAAACAATTTGAATATAGATAGTGATATTATGTAATATATTAATAGTTTGTATTGGTTAAATTAACTGTGTATATGCATTTAAGTTTGAAAACGTCAGCTGTGACAGACCGTGTCAATGTATAATTGTAGGGTGTATGCTGGAAAAACAAATCTTGGCTACGAGTAAGATATCAAATGAACTTGTCTCTTTGTCCATGTACTGTGTTTTATTATTGTTCAGTTATTTTCTTTTTTATTCTGACGTATGCGTTACTGGTGTGCAAAGCAATACATTCGGTGTTATAATGGCAGCTGCAAACTAAAAAGTTACTCTTTAATAGACCATTTTCAGATTTTGGGTGTGTCGTATTTGGTTTGACTATGTCAATCTGTAAGAGTGGTGTGGACATGTACTCATTAATGATGCACAAAGTCGTTGGCACCTGCGAACAGAAATTGTCACTATTAAAGCGACTACAACTTCATCGTGTACTTCAAATTTAACCTGCAAAGCAGTCTTAACGATTGATGTATATTTGTGGGACTATTTTATTGGTTATCAGATGACATGCTACAAGCTAGACAGAATTAAATGGCAGAAATTTTGAGAAACTCAGATACCTTGATACTGTAAATAGTCTATTATTGACAACGATAAACATGGCGGTGTATGAAGGATGACCTACCATCAAGAGAGCAAAATCAAACGCCTAATCCATTCAAAAAATCTCTTTCATTTTATCTAACAAAATCAGTTGTGCAGTTTTCTGATTATATTGTCTTGGCCCGAAACATGTGTTCACAAAACCTGTTTACAAAATGCAAGAGTATAACTGCTTGTATGTAACTCGTTTTTGCCCTTGATTTTATCAACTTTTGAAACTAGTAACATACATGAATTTTACCCACAATGCCCTGCACTTATCAGAAGTGCTGAACAATGTTAAAAACATTGCACAAAAGTGCAAAAGAATTTAATTGGGTGACTGGTTATCAAAACAGTACAGTTTTGTTTACCTTTAAAAATATATTTGTTAACTATTGTAAAAAAAAAAAAAAAAAAAAGAAAGGAAAAAAGTGTACATTAATTTATTGGATGTTATTACCCCACAGTAATAGTCCTCTCAGTTATATTTTATATATATTTATTATTAGTTTATAGTGCTGTGTTTTGGGTTTACTAGGTTTATGACCACCAAATGATGTCTGATTCAGATGACAATGCTCATTTAAAAAAAATATAGAAGCCAGTTTTTGTTTTTTTCGACTGCTGGTTCATTTTATTACAATTTATTGATGTCCGTTACAGAAATTAAATATTATTAGATTAATGTGTAAATTGTTCTTTTCCGTGTTTCATAAAGGACCAGGGGCGTCTTGTTTTTGTGTTTAATCTTATATTTTAACTCAAATTAAACACATGAGATAAAATATATAGTACATTATATTTAATTCTTTCAATGAAAGTCCACTTTTCCTGTATACAGTAGTATACATAGCTAATTTGTAATTGCCCATTTAGCCCAAAATTAATGAAGAAATATAAAAGTTGACCCAAAATTTCGGAAATGACGGCTTCAAAGGTTGGTAGTAGTCGTGATGCGATTACAACCCTTTATACGCAGTTGGAAGGTAATTTGTAGCTATTTGTGCTAGACATTATGATACATGGCGTATTACTATGTGTTTAGTGAAGTATAATAAAGATAATCTTTGGGAAGTATTGCACAGATTAAAGTAATATGGTAGTTTATGCCACTGGTAAGGTTTTAGGATTGCTTCTTAGCAACAGTTCTAGGTATACATGTTATAGAGAAGACCACACATTTCTGTTAAAATTTGCTCTGCATATTCCTAAAATTCTGTTGTTCTATGTCCTGTTAATATTTTTTCTTGAAGTTTTCAATAGTATAAATATTATTGTATTGAAGAAAAGATAAAAAAAAAATTTAATAGCATGAATATGGTATTAAAAAAACGAATGTAAATTTTATTCTCGACACTAGAGGGTGCTATGTAGTTCTGCTCTGTCTTAGAATTGAAAGAGCTTCAGTGACCTACTAGGTGACAGCTGACATGGTGTGATATTTACATAATTATGGCTTTGCTAATGTGCATATAGATTATGCAGTTACTTGAATTGAAAAATAAATTGATTTTTAATTGTTGACAATTCATTTGGATTAAAAAACAGACTCATCATTTGCTTCTATTTCAATGGTTTAAATGGATGTTTGAAAGGATAAAAATGTAAATATAAAAAGTGAGAATTCTGAATTACTTACTGTTCAGTTCAAAATAAAGAGATATAGACTGTTATTAATTAATTAATAGACAGAGTAATTCCTAATCTTTGCATTGTCTTGATGTCTGTACTTAAAGCCTGGATTTCAGTACACTCGCAATTATAACTAAAATTGAATATGTTACTGCTATTGGTATTACTATATATTCTAATAAAAAAAAATTAACAGCAATAATTTTGGGATTATATGTAGATTGTAGTTGTCACTTAAAGTGTAGCATGTTTACAAAGTCTTGCAATAAATTGTAATCAAACATATGTACTGCCTATATCAGTGTTAATTTGAAATTATCTTAATTTTGGGCATGTGTCCTCAAAAATTGGACCAATAGACCATTTTCCGTTCACTGCGAGAATCACGCGTTATGCGTGAAATCGAACGTAAAAACAGGACAAACAAGGTCATAGCGTTGTAGTCGCGTCAAACATCGCGTGGGATTCGACAAACGCGAAAGTATTTCGGGGACATTTCCATGCTCAATAATGTGCTGTCCACATTTGATGATAGGCAATTTTGATTAAGTAAGGGTATTCGGAAGCAATATTCCTCTGTCGAAGATCGGCCGGTCAATGTAAGCTACGAAATAAAAAAATTCTAGTTCAAAATCAAATCGTTTGATTTTTGCGGCAGGCGTTCGACGCGCGTGTTTCATGCATCTCGCGAGATCTCGCAATTGTACGGAAAATCACCTATTCGCATGTCTGGAATTTTTCCTTGTATTCAGTTGAATATTAATTATGCATACAATTAATTGCTTGTACTTTTCATTCAAATTGTAACCAAATTTCAGAAAGTTTTGAGAATTGTGAATTATATACTTAGTATTATGACCGTCCTACGTGTTTCCCACCTTGCCCAATAACAGTTGACATATTTGTAGACTGTGCATTCATTAATTAACTGTATATAACTAATTAACATAACAAAGCGATGTTGAAGACTTGTAGATTCGCATTTTTATTATGAATTTAATCCAAGTTGAGGAGAGTCATGAATTTTTTTCCATTTTTAAGTTGGTACCAATTTAATCTCCAGTTGTTCTATCTGAAGTATACTGAATTGCTGTAAGGGATGAACCATTATTTCTGTAGGGGTAGTATTATCTTCAATTCAGATTATTTTAGATTTGTTTTATTAATACTGGGTATATTTTTGAGCAAATTATTTTTTCATCTCTATTTTGTCATTGATTCTCCATCCCCATGCAGAAAATTTAGCCCCCCCCCCAACACTATAGCCACATACATACATATATATTCCTAGTTGTATATTACTGTGTGGTGGTACACATTCTGTTTTTATTTACTGGTGAATTATTTTGTTCATTTATACAAATTATTGTAGATCTTTACTATGCATTTTAATGTTATTTCAGCCCCCCCCCCAAGCAGAACTGTAGGTTCATCCCTTAAGTGTGAATTGGGTCATTGAAGCCCATCACAGCTCAAATGTTTTCTTTAATTGTCTCTAAATTTGAATCAATCAGATTATGATATTACCTTGTGATAAAAAAAACCTTCAAATACTGATCATTATTTTATGGATGCAAGACTATTTTGAATGGGACTTATTTTACGGAGCTGCTGTGAAGGGGTTAAATCTCACCCATTGATACGTACATCAGGTTGTGACAAAGCTGGTCATTTGTGAGTGTCCATTGTATTGTAATCACTGGAGATTTGCTGTATTAAGCTGCCATCCTGTATAGTTTGTTGTTCTTTCATGTTGAAATCATCTTATACATCAATATAGCATTGAACAATATTTCATGTATAATAATAAAGTTACTTTCACCATTATCTTCTGTGCATCATTCTTTATATCATTCATTGCCACTCACAAGATATTTACACAAATTTTCCAAGCAAGGTATTCAATGTAATAATGTATGCCCTTGTTGTTCTGTTCATAAATTTATAAATTTATAATATACTTTACTCCACTGAATACCTAGGTATGATGCTAGTAATATCTCATTATGCAGCCTAGCATCTACAGTATTCCACTAACAATGCCTTACTCCACTAAATGCCTAGGTATGATGCTAGTAATATCTCATTATGTAGTCTGTCTAGCATCTACAGTATTCCACAAACAATTCCTTACTCCACTTGATGCCTAGGTATGATGCTAGTAATATCTCATTATGCAGCCTGGCATCTATAGTATTCCACTAACAATTCCTTACTCCACTAAATGTCTAGGTATGATGCTAGTAATATCTCATTATGCAGTCTAGCATCTATAGTATTCCACTAACAATTCCTTACTCCACTAAATGTCTAGGTATGATGCTAGTAATATCTCATTATGCAGTCTAGCATCTATAGTATTCCACTAACAATATCTTACTCCACTTAATGTCTAGGCATGATGCTAGTAATATCTCATTATGCAGTCTAGCATCTATACTATCCCACTAACAATATCTTACTCCACTTAATGCCTAGGTATGATGCTAGTAATATCTCATTATGCAGCCTAGCGTCTATAGTATTCCACTAACAATATCTTACACCACTTAATGTCTAGGCATGATGCTAGTAATATCTCATTATGCAGCCTAGCATCTATAGTATTCCACTAACAATTCCTTACTCCACTAAATGCCTAGGTATGATGCTAGTAATATCTCATTATGCAGCC